GGTTCTAATCGTGCTGTCAAGTCTTTATTTAACATTAAACATTGCACCATAGATAAGAAAACTGATCAGTTACATGTGTAAGCTATTTATGACCAGGAGTATCAAGGGACACAGTTGGCGATGAGCACAGTAACCTCTAATATTTAAGTGTATGAAGTGTAAAGTTTCAGAGCTCTAGTATGTGTCTGTCAGTTTAGAAACAAACAGCAACACAGAGGGCAAACTGAGCAGTAACACCAATATATTACTGGCCACTTGTGGTGATCAAATCATATAATCAACAATTTCTGTAGCGTTAGACTCACTAATCTTATTTACAGCAGCAGCAATGTTGTGTTTTACTGTATATAATCTATGTTCTTTATAGATCCTTATCATATTGTCTCTGATTGGAATAGCTGGTCAATTGTGTGCAGTCAAATGATTAATCAAATGGCCCTTTTATGTGAGCTAAAACTAAGAAACCTTGGCTCTGTTGAACTTGGCTATGTTAAACTTCTCAAACCAGAGCTCTGTTTGCCTTCTACAGTGGCTCTCTGAGTGAATGAATATGAATATGAAAATGGTGTTTAAAAGTTAAAAGCAGTTAATCTTAGTTAAGTTTTAATCTTCTGTTAACTAAAAAGTACATCACACCCAACATCTATCACCTGGCTTATCATTTTACTTTAACTCAACCTCAAAAATTCAGGTCATTCTAACAATCAAAAAGGAGAATAAATCAGGGTATGCTCATTGGCTAATGACTTGTGAAATTGTTAGCGAACGAGCAAACATGGCTCGAGGCTTCAAAATGGGCTTTCACTAAGCAGTGGAAAACGGGAAAGTGACTACTATCTATGTTTTATGCTGTTTATGTTCTTTGCTATAACCCAACCTCCTTGCTCTAGAGATAATCATAAAATTATTCTAACTAACTCAGTATGAAGAAAAGATTAGCATTTTTAACTAAACATCTCACATATAAACTATACAGGCTGAGCACTGTGGCATTTTCCTTGCAGCTCTTATGAGCATATGCCAGATTGATTCAGATTACTTTTAGTTCACTGAAAGTTAATTACAGTACGTAAATATGTAAAAGGAAAGGGTCACCAAATATTCCAAAGAGTGTCACAAGAGTGTCAAGGGCTAAGCTGTGTGATAAATGGGATTTTTGGGAACAAGCAGAGGAGGTAAACAGATTCAGTGTGAAGAAGGTAACACTCAAACAGATGAGTTTTCAGGATGAGGCCAAGCTGCAGGATGAAATAGAGAAGTAAAAAAACAACAAAAACCAGCCGATAAGGTGACGAAGGTGAGGGTGACAGTGCTGAAATAACAACAACAGCAAAACTAAGGAGAATATCTTGCAGAATTTGCAGATAGAAATTGTAAAGTGTGCAGCATTGCAGCTTATCTATGAATAATTGAAGTTTTCTATTTGATAGATATAGAAAGAGCAGCAAAACAAAGATGTTGCGTGAGACTCTTTTTGTTTTCTTGTTCCACTTCATCTGCTCTGACAGTCAAATGGACAAAGAAGGATGAAGCTGCAGAGTAGAAAAGCATTAGAAAGAAACATCCGCGTTTCTGGGTAATAGCTTGGTAACTGCTGGAGATCATTACTGATGCATTTTGTGCTTGTATCTGTTTCCATTTAAGTCTGAATGCACACTGTGCTATCTACAAAAATATTACTTATTTAGAACACCATCTGAGTTAAATGAATGTCTGAAAAAAAGAATAAAAGTGGAAACATGAAATGTTAATTTCAAGCTACCATGGTCTAATGTGTGATTATGACAATATTACATCAGGAAAGTTCTCACTGTCACAGCTGAGACTCAGCTTTTTTTTCCTTTAATGCTTTTTTCTCACCTTTTTTGGATAATTAGCTAGATAATTATTTACGGATTTAATACTAATAATGCATAAAGTTATGTCAAAACGACCTTTAGCAGCAATGCTTTGAATCTAGTTGTGTACAAACTTAGATCTACAATTGTTTTTGAGAATGAGCCAAACTTCATTGAGTTCACTGACATTTGCTGCCATTCATTTCCCACCACAGCATCAGGTGGATGTCTGGACTTTGACTGGGCCATTGCGACACCTTGATTCTTTTCTTCTTCAGTAGATTTGTTGCTGTGTTTGAAAATACTGTCTTGCTGCATTACCCAATTTCAGCCTTTAGCTGTTGGACAGATAGCCTCACGTTTGACTCTAGCATACTTTGGTGCAAAGAGGAGCTCATGACCGACTCAGTGACTGCCCAGGTCCTGTGGCTGTAAAACAAGTCCAAATCATTAGTCCCGTGTGGTTTGTTCAGGTGCAACTTTACATTTCAAAAGAAAAAAAAAAGGGTAAATTTAGTTGGACAGCCACTCCTGGTGGCTCCAGACCAGCAAGCTGCCAGAACATCAGCTTTTATTGAACTTTTTACAGTTGCTGACGATTAATTAATTAGATCTGATCAGCAGCACCTGGTTGTTATTTATCTTCTTAATCAAGTTAATGCAGCCTAATAGTGCACCACATACTGTGTAGCTAAGCTAAATATAAGCAATTTTAGCCACATTTATTTGGTAGGTACTTTAGATAAATCGATTAGATAAATTAGATACATAGATTAGATAAATCTATGTAGATAGCTACAGAGATTTAAATTCCTAAATGGCATAAAGAAACCAAGTATTTACTGAAGTATTTTTATTTTCCCAACATGTCAGAGCTTCTATTTGCAGCAGCTACCATTTAATTTATAGAAAGATTTTTTTGTTGAGATTTAGACATAAGTCTCTTTAATCTTGCATCAGGAAGGCATCCAGCATAGACGTGTGCCAAATCAAAACATGTAGATCTATCCACTGTGGCAACCCGTTGTGAATAAAGAGGATAGGCTGTGGGGACTCCAACCTTCATATGACCTTGAATCGGATAAGAGTCTAAGAAAATAGATGTTGTGTGATGTTTTTCATTCAATAAAAAAAAAACCCTTGGAAAGAACAAATAAGTTGATTCCAACAATTCTGAAATGTACATCTTGTCCTGACATTGTAAAAATCTTTAGATCTCTGACAGTTTTTCACAGAAAAAAAAGCTCCTTCTTTCTTCTCCTGTCAGTCATTTCACAGATTCTCAGATTTATTTGGATGAGGACCAGTGAACCTAGCTTCTTAAATTAAAATCAAACAAGCTAACATATGCTGTTTGAAAATTGATCAGTCACATATGCTGCTCAAAGAAATTAAAGTACCACGTGATTATCACAGTATAACACAAAGTGAGTCAGGTACTCTTCAGGGAACTCAATCTGTCCATTTAGGAAGCATACATTTTTGGAGCAAATGAAAGTGACAGAGAGGCAACAACACGGCAACGCCAAAAAAGGGAAAGGTTTTGCAGGTGGTGGCCACAGACCAGCTCTCTCCTTATCCTGCCTCACTGATTTTCCTCTAGTTTTGCTTTTTGCCAGCGTCCTAATCGCTGGAGCGGTAACTGCAGTCTTCAGGTTACACAGATAGTCCAGCTCATCAAGCCATCACAAAAATATTTGCTTTATGGCCACGGACAGTGTCATATAACATTGTGTTGCAGGTAGGATGTGGACCCAGAATACAGAACACTGGAGACAGTGCATGAACACAGCTTTAATGCTGAAGATTTTTCAAAAATGCACAAATACAAAAACAAGGCAGGGCTGAAACCAGGAACAAAAACAATAGGAGTCTAGGGGAAACCACAGAACATGGGTGCACACAGCCTAGAGGCAGAGAACAAGGGAAGACTCAGACAATAAATACACACCAGGTAATGAGGGAAGAGGAAATAGGAGGGAGCATAACTTGAAGTAATCACAGAAGACAAGACGAGGGAAGCAGAACCAAATATACAGCACGAGAGACTGGAGACCATCAAAATAAAACAGGAAACAACACTGAGGCAAAACTGACACAGAGAGACAAACAATAAACAAACACAGAGACACGACTAAACAAGGGAGGCAAGAATACACAGGAACTCAAGGAAAGAAATATGAACCAAACTGAAACAGAACTAGATATGAAGCAAAACACGAGGGAACCGTGACATGCTACTGTGCAAAACTGAAATAGCCGACCAAACCACAGAACACAAAACCCTGAGTCAGTTTAGAGGATATCAGGAGATGGGGTGTTACATGAGAGCTGGACAGGGCCATCAAGCCAGCAGCAGCATCAATATCTGCTCCAGTGTGTGAGGAAAAACAGGAGCACTGCCAGAGCCCTACAAAGTGACCTCCAACAGGCTGCTCGTGTGCATGTTTCTGACTAAACTATCAGAAAATGAGTCTGAGGATTTGAGATACTTCTGGCTACCAAAGGAAAGCCAGAAAGATTGATATCCCTGGAGTTTAACTAACTTATTATACTGTAATAATCAGCTGTTTTATTTAGTAATATGTGTAATATGTAGAATAAATTATATTTGTCAAAGGGGAAATTTATTGCAGAAAGTCCTTGTTACTTTTACATTCATTGGTACTTTTTTATTTGTGGTACTTTTACTTATATAGCATTGTAAAAGCTGAATTTATGACATCCATATGGACTAATTTCCACAGAACAGACCACAAAAAACACTTTCATCGAAATGACCAACATTTTATTGATCCATCCTCATCTTTCAAGAGAGCATATAGAATGATTACATAAATAAATACTGTTTTTTTTAATTAACCATAATTTATAGATCGAACATTAAACAATCTTTACTCAACGACAGTCTGTCCAAAAAGAAAAAAAAAACTGAACTAGAATTAGAGACTATCTTCCAAGACACTTAGTTTGCGCTCTATAAATAGAGATCTACTGTATGTAAAGATTTCAAACACAAAAACAGGAAAAAGAATACTGTTTTCATCTATAACAAAGACATGCTACTACAACCAACCACGGGCAGCAGCAGAGAAAGAGCATTCAGTCTATGTGCTTATTATTGTGTGTATTTGTGTGTGTGTTTATATGTAAATATGATTGCTTTCATAGTTTTGTGCATTGACTTTGAGTATTAAGTCTTTTGGCAACAGCATAGCCTACAAATAACAAACTAATATATTTTTATTAGATTCATATTTCAGATCCTATGCAAATATGGCCTCATATTCTCTATGCGACATGCAGGATACAGAGAGCCAAATGGTCTCCAAGGAAAAATCCACCCTTAGAAACTTTTGCATTCTTTTAAGTACTATAAATCTGCGATGTTCAGAAAATCTTTCTGTGCTAAAAACGTCTCTTTGCTTTTTTTGTTTTGGTTTAAATATTTTTGGAGGCTTTTGGGGTGAAACAGAGTAACTTTCCAGAGTTCATACACCTGTATTACTAGGAGTGTGGATGCCATATAAGGCACTGAAAACCAAATGAAAATAACGTCCATGTCTGGAAGTAGCAGTTGCCTAAAAACTAGATAGAAATGTGCTTTTATTTAAACTTATATTTGTGCAAATTCAAAAATCTACAATAAGATTTGGGTAGATCTATAAAATTTCATATATCAGTGATATTATGGCTTAGAGAATTGCAGTGTACTTTTTGTAAATTTCATGTATATAATGCATCATGTATTAAAAAAATGTAAAAAAAAAAAAAAAAGTATTGTGCTGAAAAAATATCAACAAAATTTGACACAAGGCTAGGCTATACTTGTGTAATACCATTTTGTACCACAAGATGATGCTTCATTTAACGAGGCAAGTTATAAAGATTCTTATTTATGCTGCAGTCTCAGTAGGTAAATCAATAGCTGGACATTGTAACAACACCAAAATTATTAAGACTGTGTGACACAAACTTGTGAAATGAACTTCACTGGAATTTTATTGTCTTTGAAATGGTTGCTTCAGGGATGGGCAACTAATCTGCAACCATTTGCATTAGGTTTCTGTACTTGAACCAACCTTAGTGAGTAAAGACGGAAACAAAATAACAATAAGATGGAGTCAGTCCGTTGAATGGTGTGAAGTTGGCAAGTATATTAGATCTGTGATAATATGGTCGAGGGTATTGCACGCTCAAGTTTCGTGACTACTTACAATCAGCCTCTGACAAAAAAAACCCCTTCAAAGCACTTACCAGGCACCCACCAAATTTTCCTAGCTGCACAGAGGTTGTTAATCTATCTTTACTCTAGTGTGACTGAGCCAATACAAAGGTGGCCTACAAAAGGCAAAATATTTCCACATGTCCAATGGAAAAATGTCCCTTTGTGTTGATGAAAGTTTCACTTAAGGTAATATCAAAGAGGTACATCTGAAGTAAAAGCTTTTATCTGGTATTATGTACAAATACACTGCATGAGAAAAACCAAAACTCTAGTGCTGGAGACAGCATGTTTCTATGGCTTTCATCCATCAGTTCACTGTATTGTTTCAATATTGATAGCTCTTAAAAATTTTGAGGCGATTTCTTCAATTTTGGCACCTGAACTGAAGGATAAACTGATTGGATTTTAGCGCTCAAGGGTCGAAACACACTTTTCTCAATAACCTGACAAAATTTCATATATCCAAAATGTTAAATTAATGTTAAGACAGACATGGAAGCAACTTGACTGGGTAATGGAGGGAGTAATCCTAATTTGACTTGCCCAAAGTGTGGAAGATATGACAAGGTTGGGTTTATTTACATGAAAAGAAAATCATAGCAAACAGAACCTGTGGGCTGAATCTGTCAATCATTGGTGAATTTCTTGCATCAGTTCTTCCCATAATCACTGATGTCAATGGTTCAAACTATGGGTGCAGTAATTTTGTGTTGACTGGTGCCATTTTTAGGTAGGACACCAGTTCTAGATTGGGAGCTGGCAACTGCACATAGGTGGAACAGAACTGTACTTCTTTTAATATACTATTTATAAACATCCATATCTGCAAACGCTAAAAAGAATATTCATCAGTAAGAAGCTCTCTCAGATTTAGAGAGCTCCATCTATAGTTAGACCAAGTTTCTAATTTTCAGTGCAATAATAATTATAACGCAAGACAAAACCTTTGTTTTACCATCATTGCAAGAAATGTTAAGGAAAGCCATGTAACATTATATTTTCCTCTTTCTGTGGATGGCACCTAGTATTTGTTTACATATCATTAAAATGCAGCTCAATATGTATACAACGTAAACGAAACATTAGACATTTCTAGTAGCTGTTTTTGTTTTGCAATTAACAAAAGTATCGTTAAAAGACCCTATTTTATTTACTATTGTGTAAAATTTTTTAAAGAAACTTGAAAACTCCCTTGATCATTGCAAGCTTTTATTCTCAAAGCAACAAGAATAACTGTTGTTCTCTATCTATGCCTGTATATGTCTGTACAACAGATTTAACTGCATGTAGTGTTCTATTTTTCCAAATGTAAAAACCACACTGCTTTAATGTGCATATGCGGAGTTATAAAGCAGTAAATGGCAGTTTGTGAAAGGCATACTGTGTTTCTGGAGTGTGAACTGAAGTTCAATAATAAAGCAACAGCAGATAATGGGCTCCTAACTACACCATGTGATGCCTGATGCATTGCTAGAAAAGCATTTGAGGGTGGATTTTTCCTTCAAATGGGTCCTATTCCAGGAGGAGTGTGCATGCTTCAGGTCCAGCCCAGCACAGTACACGAATCTACCAAACCAGCACAAACAAAAGTCTCTAAAACTAGATAGAAACTGAGACTAGTGTTTTGTTTTGTTTTTAAAAAAAGACCTTTGCTTATTGTTGTCTACTGTAGCACTCACTGTACAGTAAATATCATCATAGACATCAAGTATAAGGCTTGAAAGAATACAACGTATGTGGCTATTAGAGCGTCTATGAGACACTGTGCAGTCAGTATGAAAATGGCACAATAAGCAAGATGGAGAAAGATACAACTCTGTAATCCCACTGGATGAGAAGTCTGTATGAAGGTGATGAAGATCCTTCTTTATATGGTTTTCCATGGAGAGTATTTCAGGTACGCAGCACAAAAGCTAACATATAATACTCAAGAATCAGTGTCAGTGTCCACCCTCGAGCCATCTGGAGTGGCATGGCCAATCAGCTCGAAGACTGATGTGACACAAGGGTCTCCGCAAAAACACGTCATGTTGCACTTGTCACACGGCGGCTGCTCAAAGCGCATCTCTACTCTCGCCTCTCGACTCAGTTCGTCACTAAGATTTCTCCGATCGCAGCTCTGATGCCTCAAAGCATCAACTGCAATTTGTTCAACTCAATCCAAAATCAGCTGATGAGAGCAATTTAAGCGTGTGTGTTGCTTTTGCTTTTCGCGTCAGACGTGCGTCTCAATGTAGGAGTGCGTGTGAGAGAGCGACGGGGTGAGGGGCGGGCCAGGATCTGATTCGGCGGCCGAGTTCGGCTCCTGAGTGAACAGCTCCTGATAGGCTCTCTTCCACTCCTGGAACTCTGCCGACGACAGCTGGGGTTTGGCCAGCAGCCTGTCAATCAGCGCTAGTTCCCCCTCCCTGTCCTATGGGGGATGCAGAAACAGAGGAGGGGCGGGTCACTTTTCAAAATATCGCTCTTCTTTAAGACGCAGACACACGGAAAGCAAGACACACACTTAATGGGGATACACTAAGATTTGGGGAGATTTGACATGTGATCACCTTGCATAGAGCACTTAAAAAACAACCGTTTTCATCTGTCATTGTTCTACTGAATATATTCACTACCTTCCATGTGTATTCACAATGAATGCATGGGCTACTTTTGAAGTAATTCAGTGTATATAATTTAGTAAATTTCAGTATCGCATTTTGAAACACCTTTGAAACACCTAGTTCATCATTCAGCACATTATCTACTATTAACTAATCCACTCGTAGGACATTTATTAACAACCTATTTAAATTAATATGTAATATTCTTGGGCAGTATGTTAAGGCACTAAATACACTATTGTTAATATATACTGATGCAGTAATGCATTTTAATTACACATTAGTAATAACTTTTGCATGATGATTACCACAAAAACTCGTAAAATATTCTGTTAAAATATACTTTTATAGAGGAACGATGTGTGCATGTCAAAGCGTTGATGTTTCTCTGAGTTATGACTAAAAGAAGCATCAAAATAAACACAGCTACCAATAGTAAAAGTACGAATTATGAATAAAACAATACTATACTGTTCAACTTTAGCTAGAATAGCCTAGTGTTTGATATTATCATTAGATACTGCTTGATAACTGATATGACTATATCATGAATTACTATGATTAAAATTACTATTATTAGCAGTAACAGTAGTAGTAAGAGTCAAAATATAATACTTGGCTAAATGTAGTTTTCAAGTGTTGTAACAGACCCACTTTTGCTGCTATTTTAAGAAGTAAAAAGGTCCTATTGAAAAAAAAGGATTATAAGCATTTAGAAAAATGTATTATTTATTTTATTTATATTAAAAACCTATTAAATTTATATTTAAAACTGGGTTTGTTTTTTGAAAAGTCACCTTTTTCCTATCATAATACATCAGAAAACTAAAAACGTTTGACTGTTTGACAAGTTACATTCTTCAGATGCTAATAAGTGAAATAATATTTTTTAACTTTTTTTAAAGCAATGATCTAATTGTGCGATTCTAATTGTAGATGTCTAATATTTGTATTAGCCCCTTTAAAAATGAGTTCCTCTTTGTTTGATAAAAGTTAAACACATTCACTGGATCTTTCTTTCTTTATAACTTATCTAAGCCTCTTTGTTCAAGTGGCAGTTAATGAATTTGAAATGCATCAGCAGTTACAAACATTTTTGTAACAGCACTGTCAACTTTCTTTTCTAAATTACATGGGAAATCATTGTTAATAAATTGTGTATAATTGAAAGGCGACGATGATATGTTGCTATATGACAGCGTTATCATGATGGTGAAATATACATTGCTTCAGTTAATGTTCAGTCAGTAGTAGATTATTTTTAATTTAGTTAGCACTTCATGATCTTCGACATTGTGCTGAAGCTGTTATTAAACACAACACACGAATCTCTTCTCTTGTTATTCCTTCTGCCATCGCATTCTCATTCAACTGTATCATGTTGTTTTGGTCCAATTTTAATGTGCAGAAATACACAAAGAAAATATGAAATCCTTTGTTGTTTCCACAGCAACCACTGCAGATATGTTGATGCTGCCTGAACGCACAAATCCAACCTGATCCCTTGTAAATACCAATTAAAGTGTAGCCTCTACTAGGGTCACTGTGGTGTCTTCTGAAGATTATTTGTGAAACTTTTCATCCATGCTCCCCCCAAAGCTTAGTATATACCTTTAAAAGACGCGAGACAAGCAAACAAACACATAAGCTTCCACACCCAACCAGACAACAAAAAAGCCCCCTGATGTACCTGCAAGCGATAAAGCCTCCATGCCCTCACTTGCCATCCCGCCCCCATACACGGAGGCAGCAACAAAGAAACAAACTCTAGAGACATAAAAAAACAGCAAAAGAGCCACCCAGCCTGGGAGCATCACTGCTGCTCAGACAGCATGAAGCAACAGACGGCTGCTTGACATCTGAGGACTCTGAGGAGACACACTGTGACAGATAACGCCACTAAAACTAACAAGACAGACATCTTCCAGCACATGAGCGGTGTTTATGTGTGCATCACAGTCAGAAATTATCATAAATATACAATTATGAAATAAATCCTCATGGAGGAAGCCATTCTTCTGTCTTATCATAGTTTTAACAAATGTTTTATTTTTGAACAGATGAGAATAAGTGTTTCTATTTTACAAGCAGCACGTTTTGCCTTGAGGTCAATAGCCTTTGCACAATTTCTGAAGTAAACCATTATTTCAAGAAATCTTACAGTTCAAAAGGTTTGTGAAGAAGGAATTGGAGGAGGCAGTTTCTGATAAGATTTTAGAGGAGTATGACCTGTAAGATTAATAATATGAGGTGAAATACAGTGTTGCATTTCACAAAAATTGAATTCTATGGAAGGAAAATAAAGTTCAACAAAACTGACCTTTTGCTAAGCTCCAGACTCAAAAGTATCTGTTCCTATATGCCTTTATTGTTTGTGTGAGTACCTACTGGCAGCAACTTCTCTTACTGAGGTCAATTTTGTTGTTTTCAGTAAGCAAACATCTGTTCCCGAGAGCAATTCTCTGTTAACCATCGTGTTGTGTCCTAGTCAAACGTTTCACAGATTTCACAGAAGAGCTGAAAATAAAGCCAATGCAGAAATGCCTCAAAGCTGCAGCTTCTCAAAAGGCACTTTGAGGCCGCCTCCAATACTGATTCAATCTCCATAGATTCTCAAAATATCCAAATTTACAGCACAAATAAAGATGTTTGGAAAAATGGATTTTGTGTTTTTAGCATGGTCAAACTCGGTTAAAGGTTAAACTTATGGATCGTTAAGGGTGTGGCCGCTTTGAGTTTAAGGTTATGAGTCTCTACTGAAAGACACTGTAAGGAGTTGCCTGTACACCTGTTTTGGCAGATATAGTTTGTTTTGAGGCTGTTCACCAAAATTAACATCTCATTGGCTAACAGTTGCATACCGAGCCAGCAAACACAGATGACAGGATTTCTATACAATTTTGCTTTTAACTTCTGTCGTAAAATACTTTTTTTTATTGCATTACTTTTCTCCAGCAAATATTTTATCTAGAGAAGGGGTCTCAAACTCCAGTCCTCGAGGGCTGGTATCCTGAAACTTTTCCATGTTTCTCTTTTCCAACACACCTGAATAAAATTAGTAGGTCACTAGCAAGAGTATAGAACTTGACTGCATGTTGAAGTGGCAAACCCTAATCCTACTCAAGTAAATTTAAGTCAATGTTAAGTGTTTGGAAAAATTTACTCCTAAAAGTACTTTTATTGCACCATGTTCATTCACTCATGAGCTGCTGTAACATGAATCAAATGGCTGAATTGCCACCTAAGTTCTATCCGGTCGTTAAGTGATGACGTGACGAATCCTACTTTCGGGCCTAAAGTAGTCTGCGTATAATATGGCTTTTGTGTTGTTAACATGTTTAATGTTTTCTTTTTTTCTATTATATCTCAAAAAGCTCCTAAAACAGTCAGTGATCACTGTTGACCTCCCTCGGCTTTTATTACCGCTAATCAT